TAAGTCGCCCCACAGATTCGTCAGAACTCTTCCCAGAAAATGAAAACAAAAATCAAAATTGCTCCGCCGGGAAACAAAAATCTATCAGCAACTTGATCTATCATGGCGAGGCAAGCGTACAACATTTTTCGGTCGAAGAGGAAGACAAGACGAACAAAGACGAAGAAAGCTTTCAATTCAAATATAAAGACTGAAAGATGCTATAAATTTATATAGGACGTGACTTTAAAAGAAAGCATGAGACAAAAAGACAAAGCAGTGAACTCTTAAGGGTATACTATTTCAACTCATCATGGCACAAATCATTCCTTAAAGATTGCCGGACTCCTTATTGTAATAAACTCGGACTTTAATCCCAGCAGTGCGGTCTCTTCGTAACATATCGCACATAAGGTCGCCTAATGATTTACGGAACGGCGTATATAGCAGTTTTGAAATTTTCATAACTAAAAGGAAAAACTGCAAACATGTTTTTTCTCGGTTCAGCCCCCGGGGTTCAGCCACGACTAAACCAGCTGAAACGACGAGAGTGACTTAGCCTTATTTATTCAGGTTTTGGTTTGAAACGTTAGCCTTGGCCTGGGCGAATGTTTTGCATCTTCAGTGATCTTGCAATTTTCAAATTACGGTTAGCTCAATTTAAAAGATTTGTTGTCTAAGTGGAAACCAGACTAAGATGAAGGGAGATACCATCTCGTTGACGTATCTGGCCTGAAAGCTTCATAATTTCTTCTCTGAGTGACCTTATCTCATACTACGAGAGTTGTTGAAATTATAAAAATGTCATTATTTGTTCCCAGTTATGAAGGGCCGATTGTTGCAAATTATCTTGTGCGCATCAATTTCCTAAACATAATTTAACTACCTAGCACATATTATACTTGAGGCTCTAGCTAATATAGGCAAACTTGACTGGGTTAGACTGTAAATTTTTCCTGGCTAGTGCAGTTGTGTAATGAAGAATTACAGCGAATTGATTGATTGCACTGATATATCGGTCCCACGCTTGGGGTGTGTGTGTTTGTACAGATGCCTACAATATTGGAATTTGGAACAAACAAGTCTCAGTTACAAAATGACAACTTTCGTCAAAAAAATCAAAATTTACTGGCTCCGATCAAGTAAATAAATGTTAAATAACAAAATGCAGTTTGAAAAACAACAGTAAAAACAAACAACAACGAGGAGAAAAAACAACTCAATAAATCAACTTCACTGATATTTTTTATACTCTTTCGTGCAATCTTTACTGAGCACATTGAAAATACTACATGGATACTAGTCATGCAGATCTAGAGCGAATTGAAAAATCTTACATTGTCAACTTGTAATGTTTTAAATATGACTTTGTGGTATAATTGTTGCATACAACTGAAATGAAAACAGGGCAACATAAAATATGGAATTTTCTCCGTCGCTGATCTGCTGTAGTCGCTTCCAAACAGTGACTGAGAATAAAATCACCATTAAATCTGATTTATAGCAAATGAGGAATAAAATATTGCCAAGCAACATGCTCCGTACATAACTGTACGAACTTTGATCGACGAGATCAGATTTTTATAATTAATATTACAATTTCTGAAATATACAGACCGCCGACTTATGAAAAACAAATTACGCTGATTACTACGATGAACGCTAGGTCGAAAAAAATACTATAAAAACAGCCTCAGAGCTGCTCTAAGCTTAGGTGATGTCCTCAAACTCAAAATCGGCGTGTATGATGTTTATTGTGTTACGAGCTGATAAAGCACGATTAATACACTGAAAAAATGGCTTCAATGAACGTCGATGTCGGTCTTTAAAAGCTTTTGGAGAACGCAAATATACGGAAAGATGTCTTCATCGAGTAAATACGCTTTGTCTGATTCTAAAAATCATTCTGATATAGTAATATAATTCTATCAGTACCGTTGTAAAGGAAGAAGAAAGAGTTAAAAATTCAAATGCTTCCAACACCTGCTTGATTTCGAATTTGTCATTCCCGCGAAAAAATACACTATAACACACGCCCAGCTTCAAACTCAGGTTGAGTTGAACAGAAGTTAGTCGTTTACTAAATATTATGCGAAAATTATGTCTACCTTACATGTACTTACAAAGAAGGATCTCTGTGGTCGGTCGGGTCTCGAGGCAAATCCAAAATTCTGTGAATGTAAGATAATATAAGATGTGAACAGCGCGACTTGCATCAAACAATGTGACACTCCCATCTACCAATGGTGATTTTACATTTGAATCAAGCCAATAAAACTCGTGTTTACCTCTTGCGTTCTCTAAGCCGTAAGCTTTCCATGCTGTTCGAGAAGCTTCGCGATTGTATGCCGACTCTTACTCGTCCTCTATGAAATCGTTGGTGTTTTCTGACGCGGCAAGGTTTATTTTTCTTCGTTCATACCGGCTACGACGGAAAAAAAACACTCGATAATAAACTTAGATGACTTTCGGCAGCCAAACCCGGTGATCGGGACAGGTGACAGGAAAATCGCCGACAAAATTTATGCCAAATGTCTCGCAGCGTCCGCTCAATTTACAATAACTCTCCGATGTGATTGGACGGACGCTTGTAAGATTAATGCTTTATTGTATTTAAATGAAAAATCTAATGAAGAAATATGCGTCAGTTCGCGTTTGTTTTATTCGAAAGACGCGGTTTTACTTTAAGAACAAAGGAGAACATATTGTCGTTAATTATATATAAAAGTGATGTTTACATTACTTCAGGCAAATCTTTTTTAAGAACTGTAATTATTTTGGATTTGTTGTTTCAAATTGTAACCCTTTTATTGAGAGGCACAAGTTTTCGCAAAGCTCGGGGCGCAAAGACGATTTTATTAATGGGGGGTTTGTTTTGAGAATTTGGTGTTCGATCAAGACTGTATCCTCTACTTGATCAGATTTTCTTTATCCTCATCACCTGTTTGCTTATAATTTCTGGATCAGATTGTACTGAGAGATTTAATGTTGATCACTTTTGATGAACGTCTGTTAAGCTGTTACTGCAACCCCAGGCGCACTCCTTTGCTCGCTAGCTTGTTCGGTCTCTCCGCCTGGAGAAGGAAAGGAAAGGCTAGTCAATTCGCGTCAAATTATCTCTTGAATTTATGTTAACAAGAAAACATTAATAGCTAAGCTACTTTTGTCTGTTTTTCTCTAAAAATGTGAGGTTAAATGATCAGAACAACGTTTTAAATACTTTTTTTGAAAAATATCGAAATCGGTAATCCAGATTTCCGTGGCCTTCATACTTGTTCANCTCTACTTGATCAGATTTTCTTTATCCTCATCACCTGTTTGCTTATAATTTCTGGATCAGATTGTACTGAGAGATTTAATGTTGATCACTTTTGATGAACGTCTGTTAAACTGTTACTGCGCGCTCCTTTGCTCGCTCGCTTGTTCGGTCTCTCCGCCTGGAAAAGGAAAAGAAAGGCTAGTCAATTCGCATCAAATTATCTCTTGAATTTATGTTAACAAGACAGCAAATGCGTTTTCTTTTGTAAGTGAAAGTGTGAACATTAATAGCTAAGCTATTTTTGTCTGTTTTTCTCTAAAAATGTGAGGTTAAATGATCAGAACAATGTTTTAAATACTTTTTTTGAAAAATATCGAAATCGGTAATCCAGATTTCCGTGGCCTTCATACTTGTTCA